ACATACATAGTTTACACCCTCTCCCTCCAACCTTCCCACTTCTTTCCCACCCTCCTTCCCATCCCCCCGTTCCGCCCAGACATATTTGTTCCACCCGTGCCAATCTTCCTGCTTCCCTTTCCCCTACATCTCCGCATCTCTACCCTCCCTACCTTTCCTCCCTGCTCCCTCTTCCGCACCCCTCCCTCTCTCCCGACACACACCACACGCCCCTCCTCTCTTCTTCCCGGCCCTCCTCCGCATCTCAGAGTACATATTCTGCATGCTCCTCCCCATTCCCGCCGCCCTCGGTCACCACGAAGTCTCGGCGTACTATTTGGGCGGTCTCCTCCGTGTGTCTATTTGCAAATCTTGATTCCTTCGCATCCCTTCCCGTGCCCCTTGATTTGCTGCATGGCACGTCGACTTCCACCGGACTACAGACCATCTATAATACCACTTCTTCGCCTGCCTTCATACATATCTTCCGTCCTTGCTTCCTCGAAAGTTTCAACTTGACCAACCTTCCATACGGTGCCCAGCCTTAATAGATAAATCGTTTGACTTCCAGCACTACCGGTACCGTTCGACTCGTTACGTCGGTCTGTCCTCCATACTCTTGCATCCTTCGACCTTATCTTTCTAAAGTCACCCCTCACATGGCATTTATGAATACCTCAACCCATTCAGATTCTTGCCCCTCTACCTGCTCAAGCTCCATAGCTTCCCTCTCTTCACTGCCAATGACGCCAGAAACCTATCCAGAAACCTATCCGGAACCCAATGTTGGAGTTATACCCCCTCTCGATTCGGAACTTTCACCTCCTCTCTTTAGCCTCGAGCATGCTGACCTCGACCCGAAGCCGAGATTCATCATTGGACCTGGAGAGTTTGAAGAGCATCATCATGGGTGCCACACTGTGCCTGAAGAGGAGGAGGGTGACGAGACGGCCAGCGAAATGCATGAACCACTTACTCCCACCAGTGATAGCCATTCTGGTGTTTTCATCGGTTCTAGCACCGAGGGATTCCATGTCATCCCTAGTCCTCCAGCAATTGTGAATACACCAGCTACACCACCAGTAGTGGCTAAGCCGGCACCGTCTGTGGAGCCTGCCGCTACGCCTCGAGGCAAACTTATGCGGCACGCCTCTGCTAAGTTTCATGAAATTATGCGCAGGGTACAGTCGTCTGGCAGTGGGGTGCCGGTGGATCAATCTGTAGGACCATACACACCCCAACCAACCAAATCGAAAAGTTTTTTCTCGGTCCACAACACACCTGTGCAGTCTCAGGTCGGTACACCTGCCGTTTCTGTATCACCAATGTCGACATGCGAGCCCTCGATGCCCCAACCCGCGAGCACCTTTAATGAGAAGGCTCCGGGCACAACCAAGCGGCCTGGTCTTTTTCCAAGACGTTTGCGCTCAAACAGTGTGAATGGAATCAAGAATATTACGGGAAATGCAATCACACATCCAGCAACATCAGGGGCTGGGTCAAAGTCGCGTAAAATGAGTAATGTGGTGCCGGTGATGGATGTTCCGGTTATCCCACTGTCATCAAAATACGCCAATCACAGTCATGTTCCGGGAAAGAGCAAGATTTGTGGTGAGGGAGTGTCTGCTATTGTCAAGGTGATGCATAGGGTGTCGGGGCCGAACACTCAATTGTACGCTGTTAAGGAGTTTAGAAAGAGGGGAAGGGATGAATCCAAGGAGGAATACATCGAAAAGGTCAACTCGGAATATTGCATCTCGAAGAGCTTGAATCACCCAAACATTGTTTCGACAGCTGATCTCTGCATCAGTAGTGGTGATCGCTGGTGCCATGTTATGGAATATTGCACTGGTGGTGATCTTTTCACTTTGATATCGAAAGCCTTTATGAAGGAGGCTGAAAAATTGTGCTGCTTCAAGCAGTTGCTGAGGGGTGTTGCCTATCTGCATGATCACGGGATCGCTCATCGGGATATCAAGCCCGAGAATCTTTTGATAACCAGCGATGGCCATCTTAAGATAACCGATTTCGGAGTTTCTGAGGTTTTCTCGGGCAAACATCCAGGCTCGGCGGGCATCAAGTGTGGAACCGATATGGCTGGTATAAGGTTGAGCAAACCGGGTATTGTGGGCAGTGCTCCGTACATCTCACCAGAGGTTCAAAACAAGGATGGTTAGTGTACATTAATCCCCTGGATCGGTTTATTCCTAACAGCCTACAGGTCCTTACGATTCCCGGAAGCTGGATGTTTGGTCCTGTGCGATGGTCTTTTTCGTTCTCTCGTTTGGCGGCCCCTTGTGGAATAAAGCCAACACTGCCGATAGCACTCAATACGTTAAATATGTCGAGTGCTTCAATAAGTGGTTGACGAGGAATCCTAGCGGCGAAATGAAAAAGGACGGGGACTATCCGAAATTCCTCCCCTTTTGCCAGTTCAGACCTGCCACCAAGCGATTGCTCTGCCAAATGATGCACTTGGATCCCTCAAAACGAATTACCTCTCAGGAGGCCCTTGCTGATCGATGGGTGCAAAGTATCGAATGTTGCAACGTGGACGACCACACCGATCCGAATGTCAAGCAGGTCGATGCTGGCTCCAAGTCTGCTTGCAAGCAGGCCGGGAGGGTCGGCGTTCATCGCCTACACGTTCATCTACCAATTCAGACCGGGACAACATTCGGTCGCGAATATTAAACGCTAAAAAGCGGTTCAAAAACAACAGACGGAGTGGTTTCCTAGTCGAGGTAATCAATGTCTGTGATTGTAATTTTCTAGTCTTTCTTTTCTTGTGGCTTGCTTCTTTTTTCTTTAGGGCTTGTTTCATTAGAGCGCGGGGTGGGTTTGTCTTTTGCCTCTAGTGCTCCTTTCTGTGATTGCTACGTGCCGTCACTTTCTGTGTTCAAAATTGTCCGGGATTGGGCAAGCAGAATCTATTTTTTAGGCGGTTTGATATGACTTGTTAACTCACTTACCTATTATTCCGAACTTTTTACCTTTTATCTTTTACGGCGCTTATCGTTTGGTCTGTTTCATACTGTCAATTGCTTCATCAACTTTCTTTCCTTTGGTGTTGAATTTTTCTTTTTTTTTACCGGTCCTCAAGGTCGGCCATGGCTATTTTCCATATTTCCCTATTCTTTTTTCCTTCCCCTCCCTCTGTTTCCACTTCCACGACCGTGCATACAGTATCTCTTGCACAGTAGCGACTTTCTAAAACTGTTCGCTGTCTATATTTCTTCATTGCATGTATAGATCATTATTATCATCATTCAATCTTAATAATTTTCGCAATGAAGTTATTCTGCCATCAGGATCCCGCATAACACGAGCGACTTACGGTAGCCCGACCAACTGCAGTCTCCTCTCAAGTCTAACTGTTCAAGACCTTTGGGAATCCCGTTCTTCCCCCTCTGTTTCCCCCACTTTCTTCTTTTCTCCGGTTACCAGTAAGCGGGGAGGCGGACAGGCAAGCAAATGCTCTCGTATTGCACCATCAGGAACCCATCTCACCACCGCACTGTGCTCGCATCGTACAAATGACCCACCGACCCATCCGTCTACCTATCGATGCAGTGCTGCACGAGTGCTAGTACCGGTACTGTACTCGTACAGTGCATACCTGCCGTACCTCCAAAGGTCCCTCCACCTCCTCCGCATGCCGACGCGAACCGTCCATCCACCTGCAATTTACTGTACGAGTACAAGCACAGAAACACAAAAGACACCAATCCAACCCGGCACTTGCGCAAAGCGGTCCGATGTTATTATGTCGTGAAATCCCTTTTGTTTTTACCCTCCTCTCCAATTTCAATTTCAATTTCAGTTATCTTTTCGGTAAAAGGAGAAAAAGAAAAGAAAAGCGCGGTTGTGTTGATTGGAGGCAAGAGAATACAAGCATTTCTCGAACAACAAGGAGTGCTTCTACGGTACGGCGCTGTGTCATGTCGTGCCCACACACAAAAGCTGGCTAACAGCGTCCCAGACACCTCATATCATGCTCGCTATTTAGAATGCACCATGGCACTTTAATTAAAGATCTACGGGTGCGGATCGAATCATGTTTGCGAGTATCGTGTCGTAGGTCAAGCTGGCCCGGACCGGACCGGTTCGTGATTTGACCCTTTATTCCTCATTTTTTTTTTTCATGCGCGCACCACCGTGATAATAATATTATTATGATACCTACCTTACTAGATGTTGTGTTTTGGGGATTTGTGCTGATTTGCTTGCTTTCTCTCATTTTCCTGTTTCCCTCCTCCCCTTTCTTTTTCTTTTTCTTTTCCCCCCTTTTCTTTTTTGATATAGCGTCATAGGGGAATTTTATCATACGCAAAGGAAGGAAGGAAGGGAGGGAGGAAGGAGGAAAGGAGGGGGGGACTTTATTTTTTATTGCCTTCTTGCACTTTACCGTACCGGATTTCGGGAGGGGATTTGGATGGAGAGTGAATATCCGGGCCCGGTCGTTTGGGTCCATTTGGTTGACTTATGAGGAGAGAGAAAGAAAAGAAAGGGAAGAAAGAAAAGTGTGGAGAACATCTTGAGGATGATGATGCAATTCTCTGTATGCCTACCGGTGAATTATGTTCCGTCCGGGGTCGGTAGGACCCGTGAGAGGAGGAGGAGGAGGGATATATTTTATTATTGCAAGCTCACTCGCGAATCATAGTACTGCACGGTACCGGCAGTCCATTCACCACCAGTAACCACGACGGCTCTTCCCAGCCGTCGGGCTCCACAAGCTCAACAACACATAATGATAATGATAGCAATTATAATGTGTTGGTCTGTTAACTTACCGTGCACGTATCGTACAGGTTGGGCCGCTCTGTTAAAGTTATCCGTAGGCGCGCCCTCACTCCCTCTCCCTCTCCTCTTCTCCCCCCCTTCCCTCCCCCTTCCCTCCCCCTCCTCCTCCGAGCACGCGGTATCGTGCATACATACAGGTATCATATGGATAGATGGCGAGAATTTCGGGTATTGTACGAAGTTACCTGCACGGTAAGGTGAGGTAATGTGTGATGTGGAGGGAGGATTGGATAGACTAATACCGTATGGCATGGTACAAGTACCGTACTGTATGCCAGGCTGGCTTGGGGGGAGATCCCATAACCTGTTTTCAGGCAATTATTCTGGTCCAAACCTCCCAACTCCAAATGGTATAAACGGTGGTTTATCATCAACCAGGGGCGGGGGGGGGGAAGGAAGGTCAAGCTCGCTGATTGGCCAGGTCAGCGTTTTTCTGTAGGCAAGTCTATTACTTTGATGGGTGATGTTTGAACTGATCAAGGTAATTGTCCCTCGGTATTTATTATGTACAGTACAGTACAGTACTGTACTGTACTCGGCCATCCGAGTACCGTACGGTACAAGTATTGTGACACGACACGTATATCTTCGATACATACGACCAACTAACTAAATTATTATACTACTCGTACACTACTCATACTGTGCTGCTGCTCTGCGGAGTGTGGCATTGTACCGGTACTAGTATGGTACAATCCTGTCCGCGGATTTAACGCTGTAAGTTATATAAAAAAGCCGTACTCGAGTGATACGAGTCTTCGATTATCGGTCGTATCAATCAATCAATCAATCAATCAATCAATCAATCAATCAATCAATCAATCAATCGTAGATCTGGTAAGAGGGCTTGTATTGTTACCTACCTTATATACCACCAACTACCTACCTACCTGCCTACCTACCCTGCTGTGCTCGTATGATACAGAGCAGGGTAACGAAAGGCTTACCTTACCATATGTACAGTACTCACTGGGTACAGTACCGTACCATCATCGTGTTGCGCCGCGCGATCAGCTTGTCCTTGTCGTAGTACGAGCACGGTACTCGTGCAGTACAGTACTTCCACACACACCCACCTCGGGAGAAGATGGGTATGTGATAATGGTACAAGTATAATAAGTTTAGGCGGTGAGGAGTTAGTTATGCCCACCATGAACGAGTAAGTGTGGTAAGTACGGCAAGTGTGTTGAGGGAAGAAGGAAGGAAGGAAGGTCATAGCCCCCCCCCCCCCCTTCCCGACCTCCCGACCTCCCGACATCCATACATTAATACATTATATTAGTGCACTGTATTGTCTTTTTCGATCATTGATGGTTCGATCGTCGAGGTTAAATGGAGGTGGCTTGTCTAATGGATTACAGTATTGATGCGTGCTTCTTTTTTTTATTGTAAGTGAGTATGATGATATCGTGCGCTTGTTTGGGGGGGTTCATTTCTTCTTCTTCTCCTTCTTCTTCCTCCTCTACAAGGGATTGTATTTTTTTTTATTGTTATATATATTGATATCGTGTCGTACCGGGCGTTTGAAAAGGTGGTTGATCCAGAGGTTATGGAATTGGAGGGGGGGAAGGAAAGAAAAAAAAAGGAAAGAAGTTGGTGTTCTATTATTCTTCCTTCCTTTCTTTTCTTTCTTTGTTCCTTCCTTCTCCACTCTTCTGCGGCTCCGAAGAGTGTGTATTTAATTTAATTTATTGGATTCGATTAGATTAGCCAATGGACAGACTGGCTGATGGACGAGCAAGATAATTTATGCGGTGGCAGTCTGGGATGCAAGATATATCATATGTACGGAATTCTCGTAGAACGGGGAAGTAAGACATTTTTCTCTCTCTCTTCCCTTTGATCTTTTTAAATTTTTAGCCCAAGTGTAAAAAAAAAGAAGGATCTCCCCTCCATTTCCCAACTCATAACACCCTCTTCCAGTTTCTCCTCCCCCCCCGGTGCGCAAAGCCAAGTTTTCCAAAAGTGTATTTTCTACTATTTATTTGCTATTGGGCGTTTCCATGATGCGGGGTGTGGTGTACGTTAGGCTTGCTTGCAAGGGGACACGGATGAACGAATCGATTGAATGGTGGGGGGAGGAGGGGGGGAGGATAAACTTGCAGCGGAAAGGTCAAGCACGCAACGACGAAAAATGTTTCGTCGGCGGATAGAGAAAGTGGTTTCGCCACACGCCTTGGATTGGAATACCGTAGGATACCGGTACCCCACCAGAGGTATTCTTGTTTGTTTTTTTCCCCCTTCTTCTTCCCCTACCCTTCTCCCTTGCCCGGTAGTAGAAGCGAAAGAAGTGGTTCCAGGAACCCAATTCGCCATTGTATCCAAATAACGCCTCCCTTACTCATCATCATCATCATCATCTACATTCCCCGCACCTTTTCTTTGCCGGGGGAGGGAGGGAGGGAGGCCGGATGAGCGGGAAACGTAGTACTTGAGCAGAAAGAAGGAAAGAAGAAGGCAAATTGCAGCTCGAACGCGAGGAACCGCCCGCCTGAAACGAAACGGATGGTTGAATGAACGAGGCATTTACCCATCTTGCCAGCCCACCACATCGCTACAGTACAACCACCACGATACCCCCCCCCCCCCCTCCCTCCTCCAGCCCCTCCTCCTCCACTCCTCCCAGTTCTTGATGGTTACAGTCTTCGATAGGAGAGGGGGGGTGAACAATGAAAACCGGGTGGTGACGAACATGGATATCTTAGCAGTAAGGAGTGTTAATTCGTCAAGGTAGGGTAACAAAATAAAATAACGAAAGATCATACTCGAGTACTTGTTACAGATCCCTGTTGGTCACCAACCGTCATACCCCCCCACCATTGAAGACTACCGTACCCGTACAAGCTATATCTCCAATCTCTCTATACAGGTACTGTACACGTTGTGCAAAATAATAACTGAAGGGAAGGGAAGGGAAGGGAAGGGGGGGGGGGCGGTATGTACTCCGGTAGATCTCACGCTACGGGCCTTTCTCGATATCGTAGATTAAGTGCGTATGATAGTACCGTTAACATGTACTCGAGTACGAGTGCGCGTGGGGGGATTGAAAAAACCAGGACACCCGGGGGCGATGCGACCAAAGGGCATCGCCAAAAAGAGCGACTTTGACAACGAGGTCCATCGCCCCATTAAAAAAAAAAAGCCTTGGGAATCCGAGAAACAAGTTCCCGGGGTTTATTGAGGCACTGCAAGCCGATCTTTAGCAACCTCGGATTCTGGATGGGCTCTCTCGTTCCGCTGGTACGTATCTCGGGGTTGGCAGCGTTTTTTTGGGGGGGTATCCGGGTTTGGTATTCTTACCAAGAGTACAGTACAGTACGAATCCCCCCCCCCCGCTATGGTACTGTACAACAAAAGATATATATTGGGGAGCCCCTAATAGGGGTTTTAAAATGGACCTCCGGATTGTAACTCACCTGTTCCCCCTCCCCTCCCATACAGGATCAACTTTCTTTAACGAATGGCGCTCTCTACCTTCCGGGAGAAGCCTCGCATAGGATGATATATTAAGCTTTGAGCGGATTGTGTCCTGGGACCCGCCATCCTGATTCGCGACATATTGTCGTCCCTAGTGCTTTGAATACCCCTTTTCTTCTCAAATCTGATGATAATATACTAGTAAAAATACACACATATATATATATAAAATACATACCACGATGTCTCAATGCTTACCGTACAGTACTCGTACTTGTAACTCCCTATCAGGACACTGAAACCTCGTTATAACGAAAAGCAAAACCCGAGCTATTGGCGTCCGTTATAGCGAGGCGCTATGCATGCTTATTTCTCACAGACCAACGAAGGGACGTTTTGATTGTGGGTTCTGGAAGCGATCACAGGTACCCAGACCAATCGTGTCCGATATAGTAGAATAGGCAAAATACTCCAACACAAGGTGGTTTTGGTGTTAGCGCTGGTGTGATACCCGTTTTCGGGAGCTTTTTTTTTCTTTTTAAGGGGAGGGGGAAAAAGATGCTATTTTTTGTTTGTTCACGAGAAATCGCGCCTGGGTGATGGCAGGCTGGCACGGGGAGAAAGCAATGGAGAGGAGGGGAGGAGAGGGGGAGGAGGGGTGTAAGTTACGGTACGGTACAGTACTGTGAACTCCCAGTCCAATTAAACATCCCATGAACGGGATTCTTCGGGGCGGAGACACTGGATAGGGCGGGCGGCTTTTTTTCTTTTCTTTTCCTTTTGGGTTTTCAAGCAGGGTGCTGTCTGTAGAGAGAGAACAAGAGAAAGAGGGAGAGAGGTACGTTAGGCATCATAAAGTACCGGTGGGTTATGATCGAAGGCATGAATTATAGATATGGTTTGACTTACTCAATTCATCTACTCACCCTACCTACCACAGCTTAGATAGCGCTCCAGTCCAGTCCGGCTCTCACATGGATTGGAGGGTTTAGAAACCAGCTGACATAGTTGGCAGAACTTGGTTATTGGCCAGTTCGCACGCTCTTGTCTTCCCTCTCCTCTCCGCTCACTCGTTCGTAAGTCGTTACCCCCCCCCCCTTCAACTTTATTCTATGATACCACCCGAGGCTAGGTG